CAAATAAAAATGAAAACTGATGCTAATATAAGTATACGAACAGGAATAAAGAACTCTGTATAACGGCGTTGCGCGTCCTTATTAGCACTACGCAGATTGTTTAAGATTTTAAAAGACTTACGATTTGACAACATCCGATATAAAATTCCAATAGCATATTCTGAAGTTCTAATATACACTGACTAAAATTACCAATTACAAGTAAAGTACGACATACTGAGGGCGGGATAACGTATCTTCCTTGTCATTTCATGCATACATACTCTACCACTAGCGCAAATACAGCGTCTATGGACTTTGACACACGCCTACACGAACACACACCCACGCATACAGGTACACGCACACACGTTGTACTTAACAAATCACTTCCGTGTTCGAATCACACGCTCTAAGTTTACACGAGAGCGCGCACGTGAACGAACACAGATGATGGCCACGTGCNCAACATTAATTTAGACATTTAATAATGGACCTTTGATATATTTTCGAGAAAGACTTTTTGTCATGAATCCACCACTATATTTATGTAGTGTTCGTCTATCATTTTCACTATAAATACTGCTTTCTCTCTTACATGACAAGAAGACATTGTAAAATTAAATATACAATTTTCGACCGCAACACTAATATTACTCCACACATATTTTAAGTGTATTTATGGTGAGAAATAGAAATAGATAGTTTTGGTAAGTGCGTTACCCGATGATCGGGATACCCTCTGCCTGGACCACAGATTAATGTTTCAATAGATATTCACCGATATGTCTCTGGCTATATATATTTATATTTATATAGACTCCACCTATTATTTTGACTGTAAATACTGATTGCTTTCTTACGTGACAAGAAAACATCGTACAATTAAAGGTATATATTTTATATACAATACTGATATTGCACCATACAATTAACCTTAAGTGAAAAATAGAAATAGATAATTTTGGTAAGTGGGTAACCCCATTATCAGGAGATGTTGCACTCACGTTTTTGTCTTTTATCTGTACATCGCCGACGCTTATCCAATTCTCTTCCAGTATTCACCAAATGGTGACCCAGGCGAGGTTATGGCCCTCAAAAAAAAAAAAAAAAGAATAGTTGGATAGAACCATGACGCACCTGTGTTGGCCTGTTTCAAGTCGCGGGCTGTACGTTTGTTTAAGAAGGCACGTCATCTATCAGTATACTTGTGCACAGTATATTGACATATTTCACGTAATTTACTTATTGCACAGTGGCATATTTCATACGCATGTAATTTACTTATTATATTGGCATTTTTGGAGGGAAATAATTTCGTGTATGCTGCAACAGAAAAGGATGAGTCGTCGATGTACCGATGAAATATACACAAACATGAGTGCAACATCTCCTGATCATTCATTGTACCATCTAACAGGACCGCTGATTAATTATGATCACTTTTCTCCAACGCGAATGGAGAAATTTGCCACGGATTAGCCAAAGACATACGCTTGAAATAGCACAAAGTGAAAAAACGACACGTGGCCATGAATGAGGCATCTTAACCTAATGATCTATTTCTCACCATAAATGAACTGTGTGGAGTAATATTAGTGTTGCAGTCATAAATTATATATTTAGTTTTAGGATGTTTTCTTGTCACGTAAGATAGCAAGCGGTATTTTCAGTGAAAAATGATAGGTGAACCCTACATAAATATAGTGATTGATTCAAAATGAAGAGTCTTTCTCCCAAATATCTCTAATGGCCATTGTGTAAATTTCTAAATTTAGGTTCCTAATTGCTTGTCCTTTGACCCAAATACCGCATTTAAATCTGCACCAAGCGACACAGCTGTACTTAAAGAGAAACGGAATCCACCCATATCTTTTAGGAAATGAATTAATCATATAGGTATGTGCAGGTAATACGCGTTTGTGGTTCAGCATAGTTAACCTACAACTTTGTAAGTATTACTTATGGTAACCTATAACGAATCAATTATTAATACATTAAGTTGAAAGGCACTTGATATTTAAATAACGGTGCCGGTCCATCACAACTCTATTATTTACGCACTGCCACAAACGGGAACAAGTGATGGTATCACTGCAATAACATACGGTGCATTGTTTTGTTCCTGTATAAAACACCAAGAATCAGCTGCAGAAAAGAGGAAGTAGAGGGAGAGTTGTCTTTCTAAGTTGACCGTCTCATCCCTCCGCAAGAGTTGTAGGTCGTACGTGTACTTTGTTACTTGTTTCAGTGTTCTGTCTTGTTTGTGATCGTCAGGATAGGCGCACAGATACAGTTAGGTGCACGTATTACAACAAGTAGGTGATCTTATACACGGGTTGTGAAACTATACTTAAGCAGTGTAGATTACATGGTATTTCATGTTTAATACCTTAACTCTAGTCCTGTAGTGTATAAAAAATACATACCTGTACTTTGAGTTCATTCAGTCCCGTTAACTAGTGTTTTTAGATATAGCGTAAAATTGTATGATATGCATTTTTGTTCTACGTTTTTTATTTCTGTTTGTTTGTTTGATTTTTGTGTTCCGATTGTCGGTTGTCTAAAATCAAGGCTTTCCTTGCTCCACACTCTCTCTCTCTCTCGCAATTAAATTATCACTACTAAAATTGTATTTAGGTCATTATTTTAGGTGTTCTGTAATATTTATCTGCACATCACATAGATGTAGATTTGTATGCAGTAATTCTTTTGATACCAGGAGATCTTTTTTCTTCGCCTGCGGTATACCAACTCCTAGCAAAAATAGATAATTCATTGAAATGAATCTTATTTTTTAATCACCGTTCGATTCCAAATGTTTGCAGGTTTCTGGCTCTTGTGAAACACACACACACACACACACACACACACACACACACAGTGTATACGTTGAATTGAGTTGATAAAAATGTCCGCCATATTAAAATGTTTTTATTTTATTTTTCATAGCTCCTAACACCTTCATAGCTCCTAACACCTTCCAACAGTGTATTGTGTGTTATCATCATGTAGCAACTCTTTTCCTAAGTCTACAAACTTTAATGATCAAATCATTATTATTATTAAATTTAAAGTAAAAACATGTTGCATTATGTAAGATTATGATATATAAAGTTACAAGTGTATTATGTTTATAAACGATTGTTTTGTGGTATTGCCTTCAAAGATGTATACCCAGACTAAGAAACACTGTTCAAAGTTTATGGGCTCGTTCCGAGTGATACTATCGTTTTACAAAGATTGATCCTATTCCCCGGAGACTCTTGCTGAATGCAACCAGATTAACACATTCACTCGACAAATCATCAAATTTGTTCTTGTCTTAATTTACCAAAATGTAGATTTCCGATGACTTTGTCATCGATAAAGGTGTAATTATTATATTAAATCGCGCCGTGGATTTATTTGTAAAGGCATGTGCTCTTACTATAGTATATTTTGCCTGGGCTCCGAATTTTGCCCTAGATGATGACCCAGACCCTGGCATGCTTGTTGGGTAAAGATATATTTATCACACATTTCCAGCGTGAGCACCAGAACAAAAGCTTAGCTATGATATTCCCTAATTTTTATGTTCTCGTTTCTTAAAGAATTATACATGTATATTGGCTGAAAACATTCAGGTCGTACATGTAATAAATGGTCTTCGTGTCTGAAGGTTTATTATTTAATTTTATTCTTACGCTTTTAATTAATGTCGTTAAATCTTGAAAGACTTGATCTTAGAACCATAAACCAGACCTTGTCACTGACCATCATTGTACATATGCACACTCAACCGCAAATTGTCTGCATTCTTATCCTCTTTATTTACTCAAATTGCCATCCGACTACGCTAGTAAATGGATTGCCTTTGACAATTCTATTACCCGTACTTCGATCATGTGTCTTAAACTGTGCAATATAATTGCAATTAGTTGAATTGTTTCTGTATTGTGGATAATAGCTTAAATATCCAAACTCGTTTACATGCGCGGCCGTAAGACGTCCGATGAGCAAGAGGAAAGGAATAAACCTTTCACGGAACCTGTACATGTACATACCTTTATCAATTAATTATATATAAATCACGTAGAGAGTTGATTATCGGATTAATGAGTTACTCATTGCTCCTCTCACCTGCGTCGCACCCACGGCAGGAAAGTAAAACCATTGCAACAGAGATTTAATTCGTGAATAATTGAAATTGTCATGAATGAAAAGGAAATGAGTTTCTTACAACGCGATGATCACCTGTAATTACGTTGCGGAATATCGATATTAATATTGCTTTTCAGAAAGAGAACCAGCTGCTCCGGACTTTGAAAATTGGACGTCGCTCAGTTTCCAATTGCACATCTAAGCCAATGAAGTTAGTACATTGTTTCCACTCTGTAAGCAGTTACGTATATGTGCACTGATAATGAGCTGTCACTTCTTTTGCATCTGACAATGAAAAAGGGAAATTTAAAAACAATAGTAGCACACTAAACTTTGAAACATTTATTATATTCACAAATCCTTTTAAGTCAAATAGTATCATACGTAAGTCATGTGTTGAAGGATAATCATGTTTCCCAATAATCCAATGAATCAAAAATAAGAAAAAGTAATACAAGCTTACAATAGCTTTCCAAATAAAAATCGGTGCATTTCATCAATTTTAGCTCTTTTTCGACCTAACATTTCCACGACAAGAGTATTCAAAATAAAAACAGCCACACCTGAAGATGGAGTATCAAAAATACTAAAGACATACATCATCAACATCACCATAATTATAAAAATTATTATCATAATAATAATAATAAATAGTTGCAATGCGTTTATACGGACTTGCACTCATTGATTATATCACGCCGGCGTTAAGCCTGGCGAAAACAAGTTCCAAATAATGATGCTTAACCGGGCACACCTCAAAATTCAACAGGGTGGAAAGAAGCATCCTCCACACAGCGCATGGGCAGATTGAAGCCCACTCGGCAGTTGATGTATTGGGTTCATCAGACCCAAAGCTCTGGAATATTTTTAAAATGGTCTTACAACATAGCACTGTCATAGTCAACAACATAGTCATTCATAGTACTGATCAACTTATTGAAGCTAGATGAATGAATGAATGAATGAATAAGTGAATGAATGAATATAACGAAGAAAAGAAAAACAATTGACAGACTGTCATTGCCTTGTTGGCCATGTTATCATTGAAGTGTACGTATACACTTATAGTGAGGCCATTCACATTATTCATGTCTAAAACACAAAGAATTCAAAATTTGTAAGAATACCAATGGATATTAAAATATATGTGTAGTTCCTTGAATTAAAAAGAGAATATTTTCCATAATTATACACTATTTACCATTAGTATGTAATTACACTGCAATCACATAATATAAGCATGAGTATAAAAGGCAACTAATACTTAGACGAATACTCGCACGTAACGCCTTCACGACACAAAACTTTAGCCACCCACCTCATCTGCTGGTCCATTTGAGCTTTCTCAATTCTCTTGTCTTTGGCGCGTCTATTTTGAAACCATATTTTAATCTGCGTCTCAGTAAGGCTCAGCAACTCCGCTAGCTCGAAGCGTCTAGGGCGCGTGATGTACTCCGTGCGGTGGTATTCTAGTTCAAGCTTGAGCGTCTGCTCGCTCGTAAACGTCGTCCTCTGTCTTCTTTGACGGTTCTCTTTTCTGCGTCGTCTTTGCACTGAAAAAAAAATGGAAGCTATATATCTGGGAAAGACATTTCACGATATGGAAAATGTTAATATTTCTGAAAGAGGCACGGGATAAAAAGTAGGCTTGATAAGTAATAACCGCCTTAACATAAAGCTAATTTCGGAATGGAGACCATTTGAGATAGCCTTAAACGAGGCTGGCGGCACTGTGTGACGTCATGCAAATTGGGAAAACGTTCGTAAATATGTGCGGGGCAAGGATAGCTTTCTAGTAATAAGGGGTGAGATGATGCGCAGATAATGTCGCCTCAGAAGGCAATACAAAAATAATACAAAATAATCAGTTAACCCAGCATTATAGTAGAGTTAAGGGGGAAGCCCAAATACCTTTGCCTAGCCTACATTTTAAAGTGAGAGACATGTAGAAAAGTGATGCCCAGGAAAGGAATCTACTAAACATCCATAAAAAATTAATGCTAATCTGCGGATACCTTTCTTTTTGTGCATAGTGCATGTACGCCCCATTCTCGCAATTATTGTCCATTTATCATGTGCATGGATACTCACTAAAAGCTGGTAACCCTTGAACCAACGCTAAGTCCGCGTACGTCCCCATTAACGCAGGGTACGTAAACAGCGGTAACGGCGCAGCGTGGTCAGGTACACGGGAGGGAATGCCCAGTGAAGAAACTACTGGCGTTGACGTTGTTATCTCCGCGCTTGAGACACTTGGGGGTGAGTTTGCGATGTTATTTCTGTCATCAGTCGTTCCTGTTTGCCTATCCGAACCCTCTGCAGGCGCCGTTGTTTCGGCCATTCTTGGAGGCGACCATATTGTAAGAGAGTTGTCCGGTTTGGTGGCATTTATTTGACTTTCGCTGGTAGGACAGCTCCCTTTGGTCTCTGGTGATGGTGACAAATCCGTTTTGTCCAATGGTTCCGGATTGCTCTGGATTTTGACTGCAGGATTTGGGACACTCCCTGACCAGGGAGGCATGTGGTGGTGGAATGTCAAAACGTGATGATGAAAAAGAGACCGACTTCTATAAGCAGACGTCATAGCCAGTTGCGATATTCCAAGAAAATGAGCCTTACTTCTTTAGTTTTAACTTGTCTTCGACCTTTTTTAGATCTTCACTGAAATGTCATATATCCCGTCTCTTTAACGGTCGCTACACTTGAATCTTTTGCCAAAAGATATAAGACACCGTCAGGAAATTTTATAGAGCAAACTTGTCCATTTATATTTATAACCTACATTAGACTTCCTTTCAAAAATATGATTCTGTGGAATATCAGGTGATTACGATGATAAGAAAACTGAAAAAAAGTCACCGCATCGACACTGTCCGCAAATATCAGAACTTCCAACTACACTCTGATCTGGTGTCTTCCGTGTAATATAAGTGACCCGTCTTTAAATACTGCATGTGTATTGTCAAACGATTTACCGATAGCAACGTTTTGGGGCGGATGTTTTCACTCTGAAGATGATAAGTAATAACGATCATAATGAACAACAAATCATACAGAAAACCACCTGCCTTTGATAGCAGTTTTGAATACCAGTCATCTCCCGGGCTGACACTAGGATATCACCATTTGAAGTTCGCGTGCTTTCCGGTAATAGGAACAATTTCCGATGAAGAAAGCCAGAGACTGGCTGGCTAGACAAGAACGCCAAGATTTAAACGCGGAAAATTGTATATTTATTTTATTCGTTTATAGTCAGTCGCTTTAATTTGAACGCGGAAATGTGCTATAATAGTTTAAATTTTGTTAGACAAATGCAAGCTTTTTGATGAAATAATAATGATAATAATAAATATTAAAAACGGCTTGTTATAAGAACCACTGCCGTATTCACAATAAAAAGTGAATTTTTTGTTTTAAGTTGCATATGAAAAGGCCTTATATCGAAACTCAGCAGCAAGAAGACAACACATCTTGGAAAACGTTGCTACTATATTCTGCCAATTCACATGAAACAACGATAAATGCATCACAGTTCCATTGATTTGAGAGCCCATTTTTTCAAGGACGATTTACTGTAAGATAAAACTCCGTTAATACGGACACGCTTTTTGATCATTTTTCCTCCACGATCAGTGCAAAATTCACTTTTAAATACAATCCATCCAAGGCACTGTTTTCCAGAGCGACCTTTAGGCCATTATTTTTATCAAGGCCAAACAAATGACATACCCTTTATGAGGACCATACGAGAAGTCTGACGTCTCGCGAATAAGCGTGATATCAAGCGAGACATTTGCGGTGCGACAAAGAATGAAAGTCCACAGATTTTATCCCCGCTGATATTTTTTGTCGTTTTTTTTTTTTTAAATTCTGTTGAATAAAGACATCAATTCCTCAGTTCGAATGCCGTCATTTTTTATTGCTGTTTTAGACGACTTTCCCTGCGCATTCAATTTCATTCTTACCTGTGCAAAGTTACCCCCCCCCCCCCAACACACACACACACGCACACACACACACACACGCACACACATACCTCCAACTTCACACGGATTCTGGCACGTTTTCAAGTCTCGTGCGACGTACTTAATGAAGTGCCGACACACTCGTTTTTATGGTAACTCGGATTATTTGCAATTAATAAATCTGCCGTGATAAACATTTGTGCGTCGCCTTGAATGCGGTTTCTATAACAGCCAATAGAGAGAGCAATATGAATTTTCGGCACATTTACAAAATATAAAGTGAGATTTTCTCAAAAAAAAACAAACAAAAAAGTTTTTCTTTGGCCACACGTCCCGTTGCATTTCAGAGGACTTAACTTTTTGAACAACGAAGGGTTATAAATATATTAAACATAAACTGTTGTCATGATGAATGGCAATGCAAATTATGCACATGTCTGCCCGTGATGCTTTTTGGCTGAAAAAAATTAAAGTTATGCCGTGATTAAAGTATCCAAATAATCTTCATGTATATGTGCAATACATGACAAAAAAGGCCACAGAGGACGTGTTACATTCGATAAAGATGAACAGTTATCACAAACAAAACGACGCTAAGTCTTCAGACAGTTGTCACGTGTCACTCTCTGTGCTGAGTAGACTGCCACGCCCATCCATGTCACCATTGCACAGTGCCAGCTGCGTTGTGTCCGTGTGTCACGTACCACCGACCGCAGCGTCGAAGGGGTGATTCGACAGAGATCTTTCATTTTTTCATCAGGGCTTGCCGTTTTTGCGTCCGTTGCTTCACTTGTTGGGGCACGTCGTAATTTGGCGAAACTTCAGCCATGGCATGGTGTTTTGGGGACAGTTTGAGTTTGACCATTCTCTGCGTCGTGGTATGTGCAGCTACGGCTGAAATCAGTGACGAAATCAAAGGTACATTTTGTTTAAATGCATGTTTGTTTAACATGTAATGCATTATATACTACATGTACCACGTGTTTGTTTTAATTTTGATTCAAACAGTTTATACTGGCTGCTTTGTTTCGACCTCGCTTTTATGACAACCAAAATTATTACTGTTAAATCACTGAAGCTGAAGGAGACTGAAGTTGAATGAATGTGTACCTACTATTTGCCCCTGTATGGGGGTAATTTTAGGGTTTCTCTTAGTCACGACCAGAGTCTATGGTTTTTTTCTCGATGTTTTCCTCATACGCTTCTATCCAATAATTTGTTAATCATTATAAGTTCTTTATAAGATTACTACCCCTTGGATGAATACAATATATCTGTAATAAACGGAGCATACCAATTTTGAGGAAAAAACATTATTTATTAATTCTAAATATAAAAGACGCTGTCGTACAACTTAATATAAGAATATTAATACCCAAAAAGTGATATGCTCTTCTTTATTCAGAATTCCACAGACACTCAGTCCTGGACCTTGGGTGCATAGACGATGCCAATAAAATGCTGTCAGCAAAGCTAGACGAAGTTAAGATCGACCTTAAATCTTTATCAGCAGCGCGTGACGAAAACGACACGACCTTGACCTATATAAGTAACCCCGCGCGCCACCGCTTTCAAGACGCCTCCTACGCATTACGCCGATGTACCCACAAGGCCTTGAAGGTCCGCCACCGGTACTTCGGGATCGATAGGCACAACTACTGCTGGGGGCCGTTGAGCTCGGACGTGGAGCTGGAGACGGCAGTGGAGCAGAGCCCCCAAAACCAGCCAAGTCACTGTAAAAATGACATGCCTAGAAAAGGGCAAGTTAGACTTTTTCGTGTAGACAAAGGTGAAAATTATTTTAAGAATTACAATTGCTGATGGAGGCAGTATCACGAAGGGGGTGGGGGGAGAGGGGGAGGTTGTCGAGTTCGCTCCTCCCTACCTTGGTCCCTGAATTTTACTGAGGTGATTCTTGATTGCATTAAATTTATACTAACAGCACGACAATACGCATCCTGGTTCATTTGGTAACTGCTCTCTTTTACCAAACCAAAATTATCACGGGAGTGCACAGTAACATTTTTGGTTAAAGAAGTTTAAAAATCTTAAAGACCGTAGAAATTGCGGTTACGATGCTCTAGCTATTTCAGGTTCAACCCAAGGTGACACTGCCCAATTTTCGTCTTTATTTTGTTAGATATATGTAGTTGTTTTATGATCATAAATGTTGTGTCAACGGTAAAAGCCACGCAGTTCTTCTTTTGATATCAGAAGCCATTAACGTCCAGATTCCTGCTTTCCTGGCTTTTTTTTTTTTTTTTTTTTAATGTGGAGTAAAATTTGAAGGGAAAGTTCCACGCATAAAAGAGACGTACAATTCGAGTGGTTCATTTAGGCATTTTTTTTTAACGGCTATCGAATATTTCAGGGCATCACCCTTTGGAATCCGTGGCAGAGTTCAGTACGTTAGTTGGCTGTGTGACCGGCATGGATCCCCTGAAGTATTATGGTTATGGTTGCCACTGCGGTCTTGGTGGTCACGGGGCAGTAGTCGACCCAACAGACGAGTAAGTGAATGCGCGTGCTCGCGTTTACGTGTGTGTGTCCTTATGCACGTGTGTGTGCTTGTCCGTGTGTGGAGAGAGAGTAAGAGAAAGTCAGATTTGATTTGGAATTATGGTGAAAAAGTTACCGGCGTCTTGCATTGTGAGGAAAGATAACTAAGCAGTCTCTCAGTAGAGTATTTTTAATAAAAAGTCCCTGTAGGTTATTATAATATAAATTTTCTCTTAGCAAACCTACGTGTACCTGAGAGGAATCAAGGATAGCTTGCATAAGGGATAAGTACATGAACGACTCAATGACTAATTTAATTGGTTTTGTTTTTTTTTTTCCTCACAGGTGCTGTAAGATACACGATGAGTGTTACGAGATGTTGACAAGAACTGGACAGTGTAACTGGAGGTTAACTGTCTATCTTCTTCCTTACTCTTACAGTGGATGCAAGGGAAATAATATGACGCCAGCCTGCCGTAAGAAAACTTATTTTGTTATACAAGATCTCTTTATCATTTCTTTATCATGTCTATTTAATTATTTTTCCACGATTAAACCCATCTCCGTTACTTAATAATTTTTTTTATGTAGACCTATCCTGTAAAATGTCCAAAAATATTTTTACTTAATGTTGCTCTACAATTTCATCAAATGAGTGTGAAGAAGATTATGGCTTACCGACTTCGTGAAGATTAAGTCCTATTTAATAGTCGTGGTCCGCCTCTAAATATTTTCAACGACCATTTACACCATTAAAAACATTTGGAGTGCAAAATATCTTACCGAAGACGCTCACCGATAGCTAAAGTGCTTGAGGAACCAGAATTTAATTGATAACAATAAGGAAACAATGCGGGTGCTTAAAGACAGCATCATTAAGTATAAATGGTATTTTTCCCTTTTATATCACACTGTTTTAGGACTTCCGTCGTGGTACTGGCTGTACGGACGGTGTCGCTACCAGATCTGCAAGTGTGACATGATAGCAGCCCAGTGTTTTCAAGACCAGAGGGGCACCTTCAACGCCAAATATGTCAACTACGACAAAAGAAAATGTCACTGAGTCAACGAATGGCACTGTGTGATTATTTGAAACTGCGGGAGTCGTAGCTAATTGTGGTAGATGTGTCGCTCGGATTTTGAAATTGCACCAAGTTATTGTTCAAATGACTTTTTGTGACAGTGAATGTTTATATTGTTTTACATGCTATTGGAAAGCACTTACCTTGTCATATTTATTTATATACGTTTTCTGAAATGTTCACTTCAATTTACGTTTGTTATGTACAAGTTGTTATGATATCAATCATGTCGCTTATGCATTCCAACATAATCGTTGGAATATATATGGGCCTTTGTACTTTTTATTTCTTATTACAGACTTATAGCCGATTGAAAATTTGGTTGATGAAAATTTCCTTTGCTTCACAACGATAGCATTCTGGGGGTGACTCAGTATTGATCAAATCCAAAATCATTTTTTGTTTGTTTGATCAGAAAACCACCTTGGTAAGCCTCCGAGTAAATTAAAATGAAAACACTGTGCTTAACGTGAATTTCATAACTTTACACCCGAGCCTAACGCACGCCTTTAAAAGCTTTTCATCGCCCATATACGTTAAATTTCTATTTACGCCCCCCTAGTAGACCTACCTGTTTCTCGAATCACCTAAACACGCACTTAAATGTTTCGTGTGTCTTTACCACAGATGCCTTTTCTGCTGTTGTCTAATAAACGCAAACGACTATACTTAGGCAAATAATGGCGTTATTTCCGATGCGCAATGTATATAAATACGCAATAAAGTCGTAAATGACATAACGATGATGTGTAGCTGGTTTTGCGAATAGAGCGTAACCCACAGTTGTCCTCGTGTTTGAGAACTGAGAAAACAAACCACATTTCGTGTAGTACAGAGATATGTTGTACAAATAATGATAATAGGAAAAATACAAAAAAAAGATAATGAAAGACACATGACCAATCACAGCCTTGATGCATTCTATACAGATCTTGAATCTTCATTACTATTCTGAGACCGCAACGATCAACTCAATATGAAGTCTTCGTGATCTATTTAATAATTTAATTATTTATCATTGTTATTCTCATAATCCGTCGTTTGATACGCTGATATAACTTGAACTTTTAAAAAAGATTGTAGCAGTGCTGAATTTAAAAAGTCAATGCCCTTTTGTCGTGGGCTCTCGCCATGTTATAGTCCGGAAGTGCGAATGACTTTCAAATGTGCAAATGGCTTTTCATGGGCAATGTGCAATTTGGCCTGTCATGTGTGTGACCCGTAACCACTCACCTCGCGAAGTGGTTTTTCAGGACAATGCATGCGTTGAACCACAGCACATGGTTAGTTCCACATCGTACATTGCACCATCCCTGTTTTTATGGTTATTGATTAAGGAATCGACACGGCTTTTCTCCTTTCTTTGTACAGATGTGCAGGAAGTGAAATCTTTAGTTTGCAGAAAAAAGAGTGAGGGAGAGAAAAGATAAAAGGATAAAAGTGAGCGATCTGAATACTATACTTGTCGTTGATCTGAAGTGTGTGAGTAGGGTTCGACGGGGAGGTTTCGCAACATATGTCAACAGTTAACAATTTAACATAACCATCGTCTTTGCGGCTTATTTCTATTCATATTTTTTGTAAACAGGTGTGCGAATTGAAAGGATGGTTTCAGTCCCATCGTCTCGCTATTCGCAGGTATCAACAGAAGGGGCCTACCGTATATTCTTCCCATACATGTCACCTTAATCGTGTGCGCACCTGGCGTATCTCTTATAAGGCGCGCCATGGGACTCTCTACCTTGTGGAGTGAAGTTAAAGGTATCCTATCCGGAATTTTCCCTCCATATCGAATTTTGCAGTTGACGTCTACTCACGACCTATTGCTCTACACGTCCCTGTACTTGAATTCGACGTTGTATAATACTTATAATTAAAACAATTAATTTTACATGTTCAACCAGTCATTTGGGTTTTTAATCGTTTGTATGGTTTGGATAGGACAAATAAGCTTGTTGGCAGATTATTTAGACATATTAAACGTGACCTCGTGTTATTTTCAAACGCGGTTAATATACCTTTAAAAGCGTAAACATCTATTCGCCTCTTGATTTACCTCTCTGGCCACAGTGAACATTAAACCTCTCCCGGTTCAAATCCGATGTGCTTTCACAATATTGATATTCATATCACGGCAGAATCGTGGTGTGTTATTAACATGTCTTCCTTTTGCTACACCACAAATTACAATAATTAAATTGAGGTGTAAAACTTTACAACTAAATGGATTTTGGTTCGTGTACTCTCCTTAGAGGGGTATCAGATGTTGCGAGAAAGAAAACAGGCGTATTTGTCTATTTGTAATAATATCTTTTCCGCGAGGTTGTTAGTTGCACGGGAGAAGCTATTACTTCTTATCAAATAAGATTTTTAAAATCTAATTGTGCTAGACCACTGGCCTAAGAAAATATATAAAGTGTAGTCAAGATGGCAGCTCTGGGATCGAGGCTGTACACGTGTTAATGAAGTCATGAATATGGACATTTTTTTTCATGTGGTCGATTTGAATAAGAAATTACACCAAGATTAATTATGTTTGAATTTTATAAGGTGGAAATGCAGTTTGTCTTTTAAAGAAGTGCAATATATGACAGAACATATGTGCATACGGCTGCTTGTTGTCGAGGTTTATATTATACACATGAAGTAATACATATTAAAAGAACATTTTGCAACTGAGAAATCTGCGCTGTTTGGGTCGTCGATTTTTACCTGAGGCCGTCATCGGATATGTTTACTGATAAGTTACCGTTTGTGGCTTCGATACTCATCTGTCTTCTGGTCCCGGGTAGCTTTACATTATCACAGCTTCAACTGAGTAAGTGATTTTTAAAATATTCAAAAAAGTTATATATATTATGATATATCAGTAAAGAACTTTTTTAAAACAAGAGGTGGGTTACGCTGTTAAATTACATTTAAAAGTCGTGGGATTTAACGGAGCGATTTGCCAAACTGTTTTAAAGAAAAAATAACATGCTGATGTAGCGACATGGAAGAAACGAAAATTCTGCTGATAGGACTTCAAACTTCCAAAAACACCGCAAAGGCATGATTTGTAATATGAAAAAAAAAGAAATAAGAGATGCCTAATCCAAAGTGATGCCGATTTTACAACATATGGACGAAATCATATCAACTTTTCGTGTAAAATATAACCTTCTTGTTATAAAATTGGGCGCTTAGTCATTTTCCTTTCTATAATTCATATATGTTTAGCCTTTTTTCCTAAATTGCTCTTTTATTTTTATTTTTCTTTGGAGATCTTGTTTAATATGACCGGCGAATACGCCGGTCTACACATGAAAGCGTGTTAATTGGTTTTGATAGCCATTAAAATGTGATTAAGACATCGCATTAAGTTCCGTTTTAGCAAGTGTGTGTCATTAATTGGATACCCTGTGTGTTTGTATTTTATATTTTGTGAAATAATTGTCATATTAAGTGTAGGTAGGGAACACCGAAACGCACTAGAAGTTGGCATAAGTAGTAATTTGAATTCAAGTCTAAATATCTTATTTAAATTCATAATTTGACTTTGTTGTACTGTTTTCACTGTGTTTGTCACAGGAGCGCCCTTTCACACGCGTTACACCGGGTCTTGATGCTCGTGCTCTACACGCACAATAAAACCGCATGCACGGCTGCACGTCCACATGATAAATGTGCAGAGCGGTGTAATGAGTGTAACGTGTACATGAATCACGTGCTCAGACCGTTAATGTTAACAGACGGTCGTTAGAGGTATACTGCACGCGTTTGAACATTTTCCAAAGTCAGGTTGTTTTAAATGTACATATCCTGCAAAGCTGCTAATATAACTGAATTCAGACTTTTTAAAAAAGCTATAAATCCCCTCACGAAAAGTATCTGACGTCGATAGTTTCTTCTGAAATGCACATGAAGACATGGCGCTCTCAATAAATGACCAGTCATTTTGGATTAAATTATTAAATTAAAAATGGAATAAAGTTTCGAATCCAAGTGCAGGGCTGGGTCGAGCAATAATGCCTGAAAAGGATTAAATTGCTGTTTCTGGAAGAAATTTTATTTTCTGTCGGTAAACCCTATACAGAGTACCTTTATGTGTTTGTTGGCTGTATTTTCCTTTATTTATGTATTTATTTGGTTGGTTGTTTGGCTCTGTGTTTATTCATTTTGCTTATCATCAATATCATTTTTCTTGTCCACAACGAAGAGGGGCAATTGCTCAATTAAAACAAAATCAGTAATCTAAAGGTTGATATTTGGATAATGTAGGACTTCCTTTTAATCTTTGACAATTCCTGTGTATATTCTCTTTAAACCATACAAATGAAAGATACCACAATACTGTAACTTGTTAAAGGAATAAGACATAATTAAGTTGAACACTTTTTGTTTTATGAGTCAAAAAGTAGTCTGAGCACGGCTGTTTGATTGCGGATCGTACATTGTGCATAGACTTCCACACTGGTGGCCAGAACTCTTTGAGCGAACTGCAATTTTTTTTTTTTTTTCATATTGAAACCTTTCTTTTCACTTCTTTGTCCGTGTGTTCATAGCAGCAATGACATATCATATAACCATGATACACATGTGTTATTTTTATTATTATTATTATTATTATTATTATTTTTATTATTTTTATTATTATTATTTCAGACAGAATATGCTCTCCAGGTTTGCAGCTAAATACCCACCCTACAAAGTGTGACCAGTTTGTCCACTGTCAGTACGGAAGGGGCTATGAACAAGCGTGCCATGACGACACACGCTATAACCCTATGCTTGGCGTCTGCGACTGGAGGAGAGACACGGACTGTCTAGGTAAGTAGTTTAATTAGATACAATGTACATGCCCCTAGTGCCGCCGGCCATCCTGCTTTTTTTTTAAACTTCTTAATACGGTCTTGGCGCGTATTGCCTTAAATGGATATGATTGTGGCGATTTCTTTTGTCGTTTTTGAACATTAAAAGCAGTGGGGTTATATTTGGGTATATGGATGAATCGGATTTTGAAATAAATAACCAATTGGGTTTAGTAAGTATCATGTAAACTCCATAAATTTGTAAAATAGAATGCGTCACAAATCAGTTATCATTGCGCCTCTGTCTTTGTATGCATTCTAAATTTCCCAGAACGTTTCATATCCATACGTAGGCCTACTATTAATCAAGTCTAATTTGATCTTACTAAATCTAATTACGTCTAACATCATCATTCCAGCTATCATACTACACCACCGAAGACTGGGATGCTGGAACGATCCTCAGCGGCAGTTTTTCTCCCGTTACGCTCCATTCTACGCCTACAACGTCTCCATTCCATTTTACTCCAATATGTCCCTACACCTTGACGCATGCGTAAGAGGTGCACATGCTGCTGGATTTACAGCGTTCAGTGTCGCGCCCGACGGCAGCTGCTGGACCAACCTCAAAGGGATGTACGACGCCACCACACCTCAATATCGAATGAACAAATGGTGTTCTTTGGAAGCTATCCCGGACCGTCAAAGGCTATACTTCGCAATTGACGTCTGTAAGTCGTTGTCGGTGAAACATTACCAAATGTACAGTGGGGTGATCGATATTGAAGTTCTTCTCTAAATCAATTGATAAGATGTGCACAATGATCTACTAAATGTCTTGCTATAAAAGTGCGAATGAGTTTTATTATTGATCTAGAGGCCCATGTAAAGGCAATAACGTTATTTCCTTATCCCATGCCACAGAAATCAATGAGTGAGGAATATGAATA